ACTACCATAGTTTATTTTTTTAATTAAAAGCATGTGGCATATTTTTATTATGGCTGTGTGCAAACAGGTGAAACAAAGAGCCAGATAAGTAATCTGGGGAGACATGCCATCAGATTTAGCGAGATCACTTATGAGGTTGTAGAAAACATTCTATTAGCATAACGAGTCCTTGATAATTGTTAAGAGTAGATGTGCTTTCTCCAAAATGGAAACACACTTTCTGGAAGTTCTGGGGAAAGCTGACATGAAATAGATCTTCATAAAAACATATAATCACAGAATGGTTTGAGTTGTAAGGGACCTTAAAGATCGTCTATTTCTACCCCTGCCCACCTTGGGCAAGGGTACCTTCCATCTTCATTCTACTGCTTTTGTTGCTACTGCACAGGACTGAAACACACTGTTTTGGGGTTATTTCTGGGGATGAGCAGCAGTGGTCATGTTAAGCACTGCATCCCCTTGTGTCAAGGACTGTGGTGCTACCCAAAGCATCAGCGCTGCCTAGGCTGCCCTGAGAGGCCACAGCAAGGGAGCAGTCCATGCCCAGAGCCACACCACCCCCAGCCATACACCAGGTCTACACTGGTAAATTAAAACGGGTGAGGATCTGCTTGCCCTCCCCAAAGGAAAGTCATGTGCACTACTTAAAGTGGGCAAACAAACACTTATGGCAAAAGTCTTGATGTTTGTGGTCTGTCTTTCAGAGCTCGGGATTGCAGGATTGCTCTGCCAGAGGACTGTAAAGGAGGTAACAAAAAGGTTTTCCTGGTTATGGCTGCTGTAAGGTATCAAGGAGGTGGGGTGTTCTTTCACCATTCTAAAAATAAAGCCTAAAAAAGAGCTAAAATTATCTTTGTATGCTTAAGTTACAGCAGATTCTCGAGAGTAGGTGGAGATCTACTGACTCAGATAGGCTGAAGATGCTGTCTGTCTTACTGATGAATCAAAGCAACAGCTCTGTGACCCTGCAGAAATGGATGTCTTGCTCCTGTACTGTGTTTAAAAAGGGCTTTGAGCTGAGCCATGCCGATTGGCACTAACATAGAAACAAAGAAAATGTTTTGAATCACCCCAAAATATCTCTGGTTGCCACTGGAGACTGTACGGTCTTGTGTGGGTGAGCATGATCAAAGAAGAGGAGCATAGCTTTATTAAGAAAACCACCACAGTCTTGTAAGTCTTGGCATAGCCTTGAGAGGTAGGATCTGAAACCTTTTCTGAGGCTAAGACAGTCAGGGGCAATCCAAGCAAATCGGATATAAACACTTCTGTGCAGGCTGAATGCATCTCTGGAATTTAATGCTGGCCCTACTCTCCCTTTCTAGAAAGGAAATCTGAAAATGAAACCCCATCTCTCTATAGTTCACCCTTAAAAGAAGTATGGGTTTGGCCCTTGCCCAAAACATTAACCTCACCACAGCAACATAAAAACCTGAAAGAAAGATCACATAATGAAAAATGTACATCCTGGGCTGTGTACACGGGGAGTCTGCATTTCACATACGTCACTGGGTTCCAGAAGACAAATTTTCCCTGAAGACAAGCCTCAGGTACGGAGTGTGGAGGCAGCTTCTACACACACCAAGGCACATAGAAAGGAGAAAATAAATGAGAAAAGCTAATGAACTAAGAAAAATACAGCAGACAAAAAGAAATAGAAAATGGTAAGATTGAAGTTGCACAAGAAATGAGGCAACAGCAAGGTGCTGTTTTTTTTTTTTATCAGCTGGCAGCTGGGAGAGGACAGCAAACAAAAGACATCGGGTCAGATAAATGGGCACCAGGTATGGGCAGGGCAGCAGTGCATAAACTCACTTTTTGAACACAGCCAGTGAAAAAGCCTCCAGTTTTCACTGCTTAAGGTCCACAGTTATGAGAAGTGTGAATGTGTATATATAATGGGCAGCCACTTGAGAAGAAACCCACAGGCCCACAAGCCCTTCATTAGCATAGATTTAAGGGCAAAGCACTTTGAGTTACGGTCTCATTACTGAGATTTAATTACTTTTCCTAAATGTTCTGCAGAACATTTACTTGTATATTGCAAAGTATTACAGTATAGTCACAACTTAGGCTCTCAATTACAGGAGAACTAGGCAAGAAAGAAGTTAATTAGAGTCACTGAAGCTTAATCAATTCCTCTGTGTATGCAGGGAAGAGCACGCCAACTTTTAGTCCATTTGTGAAGCCACCTTACCTGTTATTAAAGCCTTCATGCAAAGGGAAAAAGTCAATGGTTGATATTTTAAAATGGCTGTTATTTTACATTTTCTACATGGGGCTAGATTCTTTTTGCTTCAATTGCATTTTTGGCAGACTAAATGTTTTTGTGTCCGAGACTGTTTCTAACTGCCCATCCTTAAGCAGCACTTGATCTCTGATGGCAAAATACTTCATTCTGGAGCCCCAAATCAGCACCCCAGGCCTACTTGTAGGTCAGTCTGTTCAGGAAGACCAGGACCTTCCCAATGCAGAGTAAAGTTGCAGCTCTTCTGTATACTCTGTCTAGCCTGGCTATAATACCATTCCTGTTTGTACAATGACCTTCCTTTGGAAGGATGGAGAGGATTTCCAGGCATGTTGGGGAATAGGATTCATATTATCTGGGAAAATTACAGGAATATTCTGAAATATATGAATTCTAATTTAATTAGGTCAAATGTAAATATATATATATATATATTTATGTACATATGGGCAGTCACAACTAAGAAAAGAAAAAAAAACCCACAAGGCCAAGAAACAAAAATCTCTCTTCATTAGCATAGATGTGAGGGCAAAGGCTTTACACTTAAGTATGAATAAACACTAGCAGAAGTACAGAAGAGCTTATATCACCGAATTGCAGAATGGTGGGGGTTGGAAGGGACCTCTGGAGATCACCTACTCCAATCGCCCTGCTAAAGCAGGTTCACCTAGAGCAGGTTGCACCAGTTATCCTGAGTAAAATTCATCCCACCCAAACTTAGACAGTAGCCAGATGAATCACTTACTAAAATGCTTGTATGACTGACTAAGATACAGGTATGTTGCAAGTTAGGTGTTAACTCCTACCTTCCACTCTGCCTGTGAGGTTAATGGAAAGAGGACTCAATCAACTTTTGGGCTTGCCCTGCAAAGGTGTTAGCCAAACTCACCATGTCTGATTAAGCCCTGAGGCTAGGCACTTCATTTTTATGACTCACCATGCTTACATTGAGTACCTATTTTAGGCACACAAAATCCCCACCTGTATGAAGTCAGAGGAGGTCAAAACCTAATCGCATTACAATCAATATCCAATTCAGTTCTGCATGATCTGAACAAAGAGCACAGATTATGTTCCTAAAAAGGAACTGACTATGCAGGTGCCAATCTAGAAGGAAAATGAGTAGTAGCTCCTGCAAGCAAATAAAATGTACACGTGAGATCAGTGAGATCCAAATGCATACTGGATGACTTCATTTTGCTTTGAAACTAATCAGTAGGTACACCTACGCGGGATGGTGGGTGTACTTCAAGACTTATGGTAATATAGCATACTTTTTCTAAGTCACATTTGCATGCCCTGTAAAGGAAATCAGGTACATACACACGCACACACAGACAGAGTTGAGAGAGAAATTATTTTTCTGGATGTATTTTAAGCGACCCTCAAATGGGTGTTCTGTTTTACTACAACATAGGCTGAACTGGGGGAGGATTTCATTATAAGCTATAGAAAGCATGTGTTAAAACATAATGGCATTCAGAATAAAAAAAATGGCCAAATGAATATCTAAAGCAATATGGCATCATCTATTCTTCTCCTGGCAACAATCATAGAAAAAGTCCTTGTTAAATCAGCCATACTATTAATCTTGAAAGCAAAATTGATGTATATATTTCTAGGAGTACTACTTTATGGAGTCCTGCACCACAAATGACATTTCATATTTTTGTGAATTCAGTAGCCGATGCATCAGAAACGTTTTTGCAACAAAATCTTCAAAATTCTCTAACGCAGAGAAGTAGCGTGGCGGCGGAGGATCTACCACCAGCAGATGGCATTCATTCTCTGCAATTCCTGCAGCAGCAGCAGCAGTAGCAGCAGGTACTGAACGGTGCACTTGCACCACATCAGCATAATATGTGGGATCATGAGAGGAGCAGATAGTTAACCCTAAGTTATTTTCCCATCATTTGACAAAATGCTCCTTCCAAAGCATTAATTTATTTTTCCCCATCATTTAAGAAAGAGCTCATACATAAGCACTATATAGAGTTACATTTGCCTCATCAGAGCAGCAGGATTTTATACTCACTTTACACACTGGTGTAGGTACTATCCAGTGCAAGCTATCCTGTCTGGCCCAGTATTTTCTTTATCTAATGGCAGCTTTCCATGAGTAACTGATGGAAGAATCTGACCTCCCTTCCCAGTTCAACAGCACCTTTATTCTATTGTTCTTTATGTTCATAAACGCTCTGCTAAGGTAATAAAACTATCAGTTTAAATATGTGTAATAATAATTTTAAAGCATTTTATGGCTAGAAATACATGGTCTATGATATTTGGTGACTAGAAGGTAATACTGGATTGAAAAAAGCTTTTTTTTTCCTCAAACAAAACTGAACTTTACCCCCATGAAGGTATGGACTGAAGGTATCTTGGCAATTCAGCAACATCATGTTCCACTAGCCCTAAGACCCTGATGCAAGATGTATCAGACATAGGGGTGCTGGGATGTGGGGTCAAATGTGCAGCTGCCCTGACTGCTGTCACCCTTCACCCAAAGACCTGCTGAGTGGGAAAGGGGGGGCTGACTGTACTGACATGATGGCTGTTAAGATAAGAATTATATAGGAAAAGAAAATGGAGCAGGGAAGTGGAAGTACAAATAAAGGCCCATGAAGAAAAACAAAAAGAAAAAGCAAGCAATCGCATTTCCATTGAGAAAATAAATGAAAGGCAATGCACAATGGTATCTCATCTGGACTTCCAGCAATGTGCTTATAGTGACATTAGAAGCAGGTATTACCTGTTCTAAGAGATTCTGAAGCCTCTCTATTTCACAGTCTATTACAAATTTCTTTTCTTGCCTTCTGTCCAGATCTTCTAAAAGTCGCCTGTAGCTGGCATCGTTAAAATTCTCCACACAGATGGCACTGACTTGCCAGCTATTTTGTCCCGCTTTTTCCATAATAGCTTGAAGTATTGAATAACCTAAAAGAAAAGGAAACAATACACTAGTAACACAACCATTGCGTTTTTTGAATAGGAATAGTCCTTAATCAATATCATGCCTCTTAATATTTCTTCCTGGAGGGAAGGGAGTAAGAGACTGTTTGTATTCCTACCTATGCTGCTAGCCATGATCAGCGCACAGTCTGCAATTGACAGAAATTACAACTGCTGTGATTAGAATGCTTGGAATGATTCTCAGCATTATGGATAATCTTCATATGATTCAGACACATGAACTCTTCCAGTCAAGCATTCAGCTTCTTAGATTGGTTTTGTATAGGTTTCTATAACTGGGCACTTCACGACACAGGAAAGTAGAAATCTGAGCCTACTCATTCACCAGAAGTATTTGTATACTACAAAAGCAGTATGTTAGACATTCAAATGCTTTGCTTTTTTTGTTGTTGGGGTTGTTTTTGACAACATTTAATCCAAACAGTTTTTAATACTTCTTAGTAAGAATTAATTTTTTCATTTATTTATACATATATATACATATATGCCAGTATAGATATGTGAATAGAAATTTTATTGATCTATTTCAGAGATTCTATACAGCTTTAGTCAATGTATGCAAAGTGATTAGAGGTGAATGAAGGAAGGGCACCATAGAAGCATTAATTATAACTACCAGCAGGATTATTGCTTTTTATCATTATCAATATTTGATGTCCCCTTTGTCATCTTTGAGCCCATCCACAGAAGGGAAAGGCAGCATGTCCTCAGAGGTCTCCACCTCAACCTGCACCCTGCAGTCCCAGCGTGCTCTGCCCCACCAGCCCTTCACCTTCCCTCTCCTAATTTTTTCTCACTGGGGATGTGCAGTACAGAGTCAGGAGAGAAGCTTGTGACACATCTTAGGACAGCTTGCAAGTCTAGTCTTGATTTGCCCAACTGGTTCTTGAAGTAGGAAGCATGTATTATTCCATCTTTTATCTAGAGTAAGCAGTAAATTTGTTTAATGTAACGAAGATTACACACCTAAGATCCAGAGTTAATGTTTGAGAAAGACAAAAGGGGCAGATATGCTTGTCAATGACATACTGATACAAACGATACAACTCAGAGAAGGTGCCACTGCCTAGAATCACAGCACAAAATATTGTGGCTTTTCACTTGTTATCTGGCTGAATTTTCCCCAATGGCTTTAAATGAAAGCTGTCCTTAGTGATGTAGCTAACACAGCGGTGGCTCCTTCCTCTCTTCAACAGAAGTATCCCACGCCTGAGTGCAGCGACCCCAGCTGTCATTTTAATGCACCTGAAGACACCAGTGAGCGACAGATTCCCTGTAAAAAGCACTATCAGACATTCCCACGGATTGCAAGAGGAACGTTTGTATGTAACATTTCAGAAAAGGTACTGCTGCTACCTAACTAATTATCAGAAGACCTACAAAACTAGCAAAACCCAAGTTCGCCTTCAGTAAAACAAAAGTAGACAATAGTTTTATCAGAATATGAAGATTTTAGGGCACATAAACTAATTCTCTTGCAAATCTAGGAGTAGCTATTTTTCTGCTGGCTCCTATGACATTTGCAGTTCTTGAAATATGAACTAAAATCTAAATTTTCTTTTCATTATAACACTATGCACCCACACTCCAAAATGAACATTTATTAGATTTTTTCTCCAATTCAGATTTAAGATAAAAATACAAACAATTACAATGAATTCATAAAATTCATAACATATTTTTTCATACAAATGAGAGATTTATTTTATAAAACAGTATTTTATCTTAGGAAATAAATTAAAATTCTTGATGTATCAAGTATTAAAACATTTCAGTACTCAGCATATATTTTTAACCTGATGACTGTTATTTTTTTGCAAAGAACCATACAGCTTTCCTGTTAATTGCTGTATAATTATTCTGCTTTTCCTGTTGCTATATTCAATCTCCTTTCTGCCTGTAATTATCTCTGCAAATCATGACGAGATTCTTTCTCAAACATTGTCTTTCTTGCTTCATTTCCTATTTATTTCCATATATAGACATACATTAAAACTACTCCAGTGTTACAGGGGTTCCTGCTTCATTTACAATGTAACTTTGACTTGATCTTTGCTACAAAGGCAGTCAACATTTACTTAATTCAGCTTCCTGACACAAATTAACATTTCCTTTGATTCAGAATGAATAGTGTTTGAAACAGCAATTGATATCCCCTCATTCCTTTCTTATTTTGCTTGGACAACTTTACTGAGATGTGTTTTGATCAAACTGGGAATTTATCCCAGTATAAAGCATGACAAATATCAGACAAACACATAGAAAAGTGTTTCTTCTACCTCAGATCAAGGTTTGACTTGCCAGATTTCATTAGCACCTGCCTTCATTTAGGCATTTGAAGCTTCAGACGCTTCTTGTCAGTAGCTGGCACTCAGATGTGGGTTTTCATGTTAGCACATCTTTCACATACAACATAAACCAGCTAAATGGTAGTAACTGGATATGGTGCAACACGTCCATCAGAAGAGCTCAGAATCGCTGTGCAAGTCATCAGTGGCACAATCATCTATCCAGTGTGCAGTAACAATTTTTAATATAACAGACTGACAAGAGTGGAGTTTACGCAGAATGAATAAAGGCATTCACAGGCTCAATTGGCATAAAAATTAGACATGCTGAGGAGAAAGCTTATTTGTCCAAAATAATTGGCTACAGCTGACAGGGGAAAAAATTAGTTGTATGTAGTGCTGCAAACATTTTATAAGGCAAAAAATCTGAAATTAACCCAGGGTAATTCTCAGAACCAAGTGCAGCATTTCTAGACAAAATCCTTAAACTTTGGAAAGATCTTTGCCCAAATAAAGACAGCAGACATGAATCTTACAGCTGTTGTCTAAAAGATATTTATTTTCTGGTGATGTGCTGTTTATCCTCAGTTATGCTACAGACAGATGAATGATTCATTTTCTAGAATACATTCTGTCCCATGTATTGTGGAATACTATTTGTCGCACAAAAGCAAACTAAAAAAACCCACGCTCACTCATATCAGCTGAGCTACACAATCAATGTTTTTCAGAACAACCTTATTTAAAAAAAGTTTAGGACTATGCCAATAAATAAAAGTAAGGTAAGGTCTTCACAAATTTATAGAGTAACCCTTCTTCACTAACTAATTCAACTTTGAAATGCAGGTAACTCATTTATCAGAAAATACAGATTATTGTGCCCAAACCCAACTGGTTGAAGTCTGGAAGTCTGTATCAACAACCTCCCGGTGCTTCCTGGAGTTTGATTTTTTTTTTTAAATTACCAATCTATAAACAAGATAAAACACCTATCAACTGCCTGGAAACACCGATGAAGTCCTTCACAAATGCAAGGATGCTACATGCAAGAATGGCTTCTTTTTCCTCTTTATGGGACTATGATTCTGGGTAATTTTCCTCAAATGACCTGGGATGAAAAGTCTGACAACTGCTTTTTGTAAGTCACTGCTCAAATGTAGATACTACGGACAACTGCTTAAGGACCAGTAATACCGATTCCACCTCAATATATTGGAACCAAACCAGACACAGGGAAAGTCTGAAAAGATTTTATTTTCTTGATCCCTTCCCTCCTTGCTTTTCTGTTCTCTGGTCAGGTGGAATTGTGATGATCTAACACATTGCAATTTTTCTTTCAAAAAGATACCACACAGTAATCATGTTGGGAAACAAACAAACAAACATGAAAATGAAGAGCTATTCTGTTTGCTTCTTGTAAAATCAGAGCTGGAGATGCCTACCACAGAAAATCTACATATTAGGGTTGATACTACAGCTAAGTACCTTACAAACAGAATCACTTTTTTTTAACCCTGCTTCCCTCATTCCACAATCCATAGGCATTTTTCCACAGCAAAATGCATCAGCCACACAAAAAACAGTGCTAGATGTGCACCTGGTCTTATATATAAGTTTAGAAAGACTTCTTCAGAGAGACTTAAATGTCTTCTGGAGGCCAAAGTGTGTAAAATGCTTGAGCAATATTGGTATTTAAGAAATGTCCGTGCAGGAGTTTGGGAGTCCAGGATTCACAGAATCACAGAATCACAGAATGTTGTGGGTTGGAAGGGACCTCGAAAGATCTTCTAGTCCAACCCCCCTGCCACAGCAGGACCACCTAGAGCAGGTCACACAGGAACGCGTCCAGGTGGGTTTTGACTGTCTTCAGAGAAGGAGACTCCACAACCTCTCTGGGCAGCCTGTTCCAGTGCTCTGTCACCCTCACAGGGAAAAAGTTTTTCCTTATGTTAATGTGGAACCTCCTGTGCTCCAGCTTGCACCCGTTTCCCCTTGTCCTGTCATTGCCATCACTGAGAAGAGCCCGGCTCCATCCTCCTGACACTCGCCCTTTCTGTATTTATAAACATTGATGAGGTCACCCCTCAGTCTCCTCTTCTCCAAGCTAGAGACCCAGCTCCCTCAGCCTTTCATCATAAGGGAGATGTTCCATCCCCTTGTCAGTGCAACATTGCTGTAATTGGAGCCTGTACACCATCACCCTCCACCCAAGCAGCTGAAATCATGACTAATCTTTTTGATTTTAAAAGTTCAGTGGCCTTTCAGGTTTTTTTATCTGTCTTCTGCTGTACCAGCTAGGCTTTCCCCTATCCAATTTCATTTCAGCAGTCAATGACTTAATTTCAGTTATTTTCATTTAAATGAAAAGTAAAAGGTAATATCTAAACACTTTCAGTGTGTTCAGAATAAGCTAAAGAGATAGAGGAGCATTTTGTTTACTTATTTTTCTGCTGGAATGCACATGGTTGGCTTGTTTCCTTTTCTTTCTTTACTTTTTTTTTTTCTTTCCCTTTTTCTTCTTGCTTGCTTGCTGGCTTTCACCAGAAATATTTCAGTGATCAATTACAGTGTTATAATTAAATTTCGATAACTTTCATCTTCTAGCAGCCTTTTCATTCTGGGAAACCATTTCCCCCACCCCTCTAAGTGCATGCAATCATTCCTGATGTTCTTGCCAGAAGACAGCAAAGTGACTGCTTGCTCCAAACAGTAACACCCCCAACAATAATTCTTATTTTGGAATTATTATGCAGGAAGTAACTTATTAATTTTTCTATGATGAAGAGGATGCAATATTTACGTATTATTACTGTATTTTACTCTGGC